CGCGGGCTAGAGGCCTAAGTGGGGCAGACGCCAGGTACTGACCTTAGGTCGGTGGTTTTCTTCGGGAACTTCGGCTTTCCTCAACTACCGAAACCTGGCACGTCCTCAAATGACCATAGCTGTTTAAAGGACGTAAAAACCAACAAACAAACAAAAATCAATCAATTTTTAATCAAGGGAGGTGAATCGTGCAAGACGTGAACAATTGTCTGATTTCTTTTCTATTGAACAAAATATTATATCCAAAATAAATGTCATTTCCTATATAGAGAGTACTAGATTTATGTTTACTATTTCAGATTGTTATTCAAATGTTTCAAATGAAATATAATGTTCTCAACTCATTCTTTATCAGTACTCGTGATCCAGCTGATATATCAGGACCGATTGTGGGAAACTCAACGCCCAGGCAGAGGTTTATATATCGACATCAATACCGACGATTGAGAGGACGAGCTGAAGGAAATATTTGTGTGAAATTCAAAATATAAAGGATACCGAAATCCGGGATATATCGATATTTGTATAGTGTTGTGTTTATTTTGCACACATTTGCCTGTGACGTTTGTGTTTGTCTCATTAAAGAATCGTTTGATCATCATCACCCGATCATATTTGTTTTGGTAAATATTCGTCAGAGCAATATTTTATATAAATTACTTTGAGATTTTCGTTTGTGTTTGTGTGTTGACGCTTTATTTTTGTGTTTTCATTTCACCTGATTAGGTGTACATGCGAATTTGAAAGCGTAAAAATTGTCTTGCATAGGAAAAATCTACTTACCGGTTTAAACTATAAACATTGTTAAGGTATCTAAAAAGACAAAATCTTAAAAAAAATGTTATTTTTCCTGGCCCATTTAACAAAACCTCCCAGAGGTAGAACAGCTTGCATTAAGTTTTATATCAATATCACGCCAAACATCGCTCAAAAATGTTTAGTCTACAAAAATACGCATTTCCCAAAATATAACCTTTGTCACACACGTGCATTTAAGATGACATCATGCTTAGTAAGCCTCTTGAGAAGAATGGTTGCTGATTGAACTAGAATGTTTTTGTAATATAAATATTAAACGTTACGTTTAACGTAACGTTTAATATTTATCTTAAAAAAACATTTTTAACTGCGTTACTTTTTATTAGCTCCTATACCTTTAGTTGCGTATCCTTGTATGTATGAGATGTGCCGCATAGAAAGAACACTATTCAACTCTATAGACGAATTAACACTTCGCTAAATGATGTTGAAAGCGGTCACGCGAAATTTGTTACGCCGTCAAGAAAATGAATATCAGCAAAGTTTGAACATCATGTCAGTTGTCAGAGCAAAGCAAGTGAGACTATAGTAAACTTTTGAACAGTGTTGATGTGATTATTAAAGATCCATTGTTTATATATTATATGTCTGGCTTGATTAAAAGAACGGTATTTCAGGGTGAGGTGTTTTGGGGTGTTTTGGGGTAAATCGTCTTGACGGTATTTTAGTATGTGCCCCCCCTGTATTTTGCCCATACATCGTGACACTTTTTATGTCGACAGCTGATCTACATGTAACTACAACTCAAAAATACTTAAAAATGAAAAACATCAAACTTTCTGAAAGAAGTGTTTTACACTCTGCTGTTGGAGATGGCTGCGTTAAGTGTATTACTCCATCATAAGACGGACGACCATAATATTTGTGTGTGTGCAAATCATTAAATAAGAGAGGACAAACAAATAAACTGTTTGTGCACAGCTGGGTAAGTAATAAAAACGTTCATAGTCATCAATGTAGGTTGATAGAGTTTTTTCCTCATTCAAACTGCCAAATTGGAACATGTCTCCTAAATTCATTGAAAAGGCATGATATAGGCCATATGAGCTTGTTTTGATCAACAGGGATTAAGTAAAAATGTTAATGATATTTTATCATAAGACAACAACCTATGTAGTACGTTGTCATGCGATACAATATCATACATGTTTACATATTGTTCAAAACAAACTCCTGTGTTTCGGGCGAGAGCTAATCCCGGATCTGGTATGAAAAACGTCATGTTGTAACATTTTTATCATATACATGTGTGGCGAAGAGAAAAACAAACACGGAATGTACACGTTATACAGTAACTGACGTGCAGGTGCACAATGCAAATATACCCTTACTTTATTTTCTGTTTTTCAGACTAGGACAAATCGGCAGTGGAAGTCCATTTTATCCAAGTACTGAGTGGCCAGTTTTAAAGAACGGTTGCATACATCACAACATTTACTTTATTTTCTATTTACACGAAGACAAATTCTACCATGAAAAAGCCCAAAACAGATGTCTCATCATTAATTTCGAAACTCATGGGTTATACTACAGATTGTTAAAAAATGTAGTCTTTAAATTTTGGTCTTGACCCTGAACCAAAAACAAGTGTCTGCAAATGTACATACATACCAATACCAGGATGATAAAGCATCGGCTTGTTTACTGGTAAATCAATTCCTTTCTTAGCAGCTTTACCTGACTTGTTGCTCTCATGTATCAATATAATTATGGTCTTGATTGATGAACAATTGTGATTAAACCAGAGTAACGTTTTCCAAACAACAAAGGTAACCATTGTATCACACTGAATACACATAGGGTAAACATGTTATCATTTAAACAGGAATTCAATCATAACAATTTACAAAATTGACTAAGGTCAAGAGTCCCACCTACTTTCTACTGTTTACAGGCCTCCGAAAGTTGCGGTTCCTATAATGGAGTTAAAGCAGTTTGAATTTATTTCCAATAAATAATTCTGAAAGTGTAGCAAAACTAATAACTAGACTGATTACACAGTAAAATAAGTTTATTTTTTTAATCAAGAGAGCCAACAATTGAATCCCAACAGTAATACAAGTGTTTTTATGATAATTGAAATTATGATAAATAATTGATTATTTATTATTATTGATTATTAGATTCTGCTCCATTGCTTTTGAAAATAACTTAAGTGCAGACTAACTTACATCATAACTCTTCTTTGTTGGAGATACAGCATCAAGTGATGACTCTTTATAAATTATGCAGATAGTCAATACAAATCATGTTATACTGCCATTTGTCCGGCATGAGTTTTGTATCATAAAGGGGTTTGGTGATACAACGATGGATAATATCAAGGAATAGCTAAATACATTTTAAATATACCAGCACCGATGAAGCAGATGTCAGAATGTGTAAGTGGCATACTTTGAGAATAAGAAAACTTTTCAAGTCTTTGTATTGACTGTGATAAATCAACCTGGAGGAATGAGTAGCTCTATAGTTAGGAGGTCAAGATCCTCTCTTATTGGGAGATAACATTATTAATAGTCATGTTTTATGTTGAATTTTGTAGTCAGTGGTTGTTATACCATGCCATTTTGAATTAAATGTACACATATATACAGGTTATATTAGGCTTTTTATTTTATGGTCAGGCAGTTGTAAATAATTTTGTTTCAAAGGCAACATTAATCCAATCACCCCCACCACCACCACCACCACCACCAAAACAAAATATCATAGGGAACACTATTTTTTTCCAACGTAAGTTGAAAATCTTTAATAGTCTTAAATAGCTCATAGAGTGCCAAATGCAATATGACACAGGCATGTGCTTATTAATAGTTAATGCAACAGATGTGTTAAAATAGGACTCTAATTTAAACACTTTTCATTAAGAAAATTGATCCCAGCAGTTGCATGCAACTTATATATGATACGTTTTTGAATACCTAACATTTTTATAACAGAGTGACTGATAAATTAATGACAGTATGTTTGGACCCTTCCCAAACTCAGTCCTTTAATAATGAATGCCTAAAATTATTCCTGCTTGCAACTTATATAAATACTATTCATACCTGAATATTTAAAAATATATTATCTATTTTATCTATTTTAATTTAACTATGGGATTAAGTTAAACAACTTATACGAAGTCCTTTCCCTCAATATGTAAATTGTCCTTGTAGTGGTTTAAGATTTTAAAAATATGTTATATATGTAATGATAGACAATATTGTGAATATATGTTATATATGCATACTACATAGCATAAACTATAGTGATATCAAGAAAATATAACACTACAAAATCTGTATTGTATTTTGATTTGCATTATGTTATTTTGGACATTTGTTTATCATGGTTACATCTGCTTTACACACACGTGCTGTAGCCCAGATCAGTATGTCATACAAATATGTGTATTTTTCACGTAGGTACCGTTTCTAGATTCTTTATTAAGATTATTCGTGTTTTTAATTACGTTTCCAATATAGAAACATATCGGCTGTCGTAGGGAACCGTCGATATAGCCTCCTTTTCTACATTTAAATTTCGATGAATTATCCCCAAACACTGTGATGAATTTCGGGAAAGTTACCTCCCTTGGACCGTGGACCGCGCCGCCACGAGATCTCGTCGAGCTACGCGACGCGATAGCACACACCGAATTTACGACAGCATTATCAAATTGACCCATATAGTATTTCGAGTCTTATTAATAGAATCACGCGTCGGAAATACCAACTTGTAATATGTATGAGAAATGAACAAATAGTTTTTGAATTGATACTATGGTTCACATAACGCTTATTTTTATCTAAACAGAGTCCCATTTTGGGAACGGTGATGTTACATCCCCAATTGCAACCTAGCCTGTGCTGTTGGGGATATAATAATGTGTAAATGTGCAGTATCACCGGAAGTTGACAATGTTCTTTATTTAGAAATCCAGTTTAGTCTGTAACACAGGTTAGTAGAAAATGCCCTGTCTCGCTCACTGCTATGTGGTGTTCCATAACATTGCCATTATTTCCTATACCAATAAAAAGGTAACAGCTTCCTATCCTTTAATTATCAAATAATGTTATCAACGAAACATGTCTTTTTTTTATCTGGCCGAAAACAAACTACGTCACTGGAAAACCCAAATACCCAAATGTGTATCACGTGATTTATGATTATACAACATCTGATGACGTAGGTAATTGTTGAAGTAATGATGTAAACCCGATTTGCTCACGGCTTATATCATTTACCAGATAATACACGGCTTCAGCATCCTTCTGATCCAAAGGAAAAGTGTCTCCATAGGTGACATTGGACATTAGATGTGATATTCATGAAATTGTGAGTGTTATAATTAGTTAAACGAAGTGTTAAATTTCTTCCTGATTGACACGTGACAAGCAATACACACGAAACTAGTATGAGTCATGTTAAGATAATGCAATATCCGATTATTTTTATATGTACATAATATGTTTTGGCTATCTCGAATGATGATAGTACCATAACTCGTAGCAAATTGCTATATTAACGTTCTGAATTCCTCTTTTCGTTTTGTTGCAAAGATATATGTATATATATATAGATACCTAATAGCATTGTGTTATGAGCGCGCATTCTTGGGCGTGTTTGATAAGGTGTACGTAAAATCATTGTCTTAATATAAAGTATATATCTGATTGCAATATAATTCCAATTCTACTTCCGTTCCTTCAGCTTTATGTATCGAGAGGCAGATGGTTGTTAAAGTGTACCCTGAACGTTTTGCTACATCAAGCTATGAAAATACTTCATATTTCACAATAAAAGGCTAAGAAAGTGTGAACGTCGTAATTGACTCCGATTTATAGAGTTACAGAGATATTGCGAATTATCTGAAAAAAAAACAAACACCTTTGGCTCAGCGGCGATCGCTCCGATATGGGTAGCCAACATCTCTTACGTCACAAGTTTAACGCTGTCAAAACAGCCCTGTAGGAATATGCCGGGAGGTTTCGATCGTGAGTTCATTATGCGAGCTGTTTAACTATTTATGTGACATATTTCATCGTCACTTACTAGTGTAGGTTATATTCCAAGTGCTACATACATGAATATGGTTTTGTTTTTACAATTTCAATGATTAAATGAGCTGGTATTGTGGAGGCAAACGATTAGCTGTATGCGGGTGTCCGAACACACATGAGGATGCTATCTAAATGAATCTGTGTCTGTACATTATTCGTTAATCAAGTGACTGTAAATTTTATACTTTCTATTAATAAATTTATCTTTTGAAAATATGATGAAATTTCTATAAACAACACAAAGCAATGGATTAAAAATTGAGTCAAATTTACGTAAGCGCGTCTTATCTTATCTTATTGAGTAATTATATCAACAAATCCCCGTACACGTGTACATCACAGCTATGCTTTGTAGATAAGACATCCTTTTAAATGATATTGATGCATTGAATAGCTTTACCCTCTAATTGCCTATTATTTATACCCAAACAAATGTGCTGAATTACAAACAACTGTGGAATTGTCGAGTCAGAATGAAACCAAGGCCATGCAGAAATTATTATTATCGCAAATATATTACAGAAAAAACGGGGAAATTCATCATTGAAGACAGTCTCACTTGTTTGAAATGCTGGAAGACTGCAGACAAAGTAAGGACGTGTAAGATATGCTATTCGATAATTATATATATAATTGTGCTATTCATAGGTACAGAAAAAACAAAATCAAGATGCCTGTTTTGTAACAAAGCAGGTTACGGCTTGACACAGGCAGTTGTAAAGAAAATTAAATACTTTCAAAACTTGTTGGTAATGATTGTACAATTTTGTGTTATAAACAGCATATTATTTGTTTTAAATTCATAGAAATAACGCGAAATAATAATTTTGTTGAGTCTTTATTATCGTGAAACGCATGCGTCAATAGCCATGGCCTTGAATTCGATTGGGATTCCGATAGAGCTACCTGTATAAAAAATACCCGAGGTCGCGTCATGACAGTACACGGTGGCAAGCGCGCACTATTCGATCACAGCTTTAGGGAAATGGGCATGGCAATCCGTCATAGATCTTTCTCATCAGTGCTCAGAAACTGGTCATACATTGCTACCAGTCTGTGTTACCCCCTTCAGAGTCGTCAGTTTGGGTCAATCAAAATCACTGTCTGCAAATTCTAATAAATGATATGAATGTATATACGGTATACATAATGTCATCTTTAGCTTAAATTGATTCCTCAAAACTCATATCAAACCGCTGTATGGCTGTTCTCGCTCTCGTCTATTCCGTCCATGGCGGCTGCAACAGTCGTTGAACTTGTGACGTCACAGCCGATAAGGTCCCATCCATGTCGAGTTACGATTATGCTAGTTAGAAGAAGGACAGGTGAAAATCATACAATTTACACGTCAATATCGCGGTATTGGTCTGACTGATTTTGATGCGGTATTCGACATTTTTGTTTTTTGATCATATATAATACTGATAAATACATTTGTATTTTCGTTCAAGGTACACACTAATGTATACTACCCTCGCCACGAAGGGACACTAATTCAATCATCAAGCTATACGAGACAACGGGACTATAAATAGCTAAGCGTCACTTCGCTTAGTCGTTTGTCTGTATATAAAGACAAAAATAGAAAATGAATTAATGTAACAAACCTTTTATCAATGCAATTGTATTTTGAAATGAGCGTGGTTTATATTGTTTTCAAAACTACAAATTGTAGGTCAGCATCAAAATGATATATGTATATAAAAATGTTTTGTGTCTTCCAGGTCAAAGAACAGCAAGCACAAATCTAAATAAGGTTACGCGTAAACCAAAATAAACATCGAACAATATGGGCGTGTTTTCAAAAGAACAGATGAACAATGCGTTGCTGGGAATGTACTTGGGAACGCGAGGTCCTAAGACATTACGAAAGTGTATTACAGACAAGTTGTTTACGTATCAGATGTTCAGCAATGAAGAAACAATACGCACAAATACGGATGCTGAAATCGTCCCCTTGGTATTTCCAGAAGGTCAACCTGTCCCTTCGTTAGACGACCTAGATGATCTAGTACTTCAAGACATCGGTTCGTTAGCGTTTGATTTGTCTAAAAACGAACAGGACATTGTCAAATTACGTAATTCAATTCAAGTTTTATTGGAAGGTCCTATCTTTCATAAATATTTGCAATCAAGAGAAAATCGATTTCGTAAAAAGAATCGCGACAAAAAGCTACTAAGCAAAATCCAGTTTGCCAAACTCTATCCTGAGAGTGGTGACCCGAGTATATTTGACTTAGATATCACCGTACTGTGCTTCATATTGTTCGAAGGAATGGATTTTAGGCCAATATCCGATTTTCATAAACTTCCATTGGAAAGTGTTCAATTGGAAGCCGATGACATGTTACGGATTAAGATTTGCAGAAATTTTCTCGTTCACCAGCCGGCTGCTGAAATAAGTGATGAGGACTTCGATACCTATTGGGAGTGTTTAACGGGGGCATTCGAACGATTATTAAAAAGTCCATGTGTTCGACGGGAAAGCGAGAGACTCAAGTCTTTACGACTTCCAGATGAAAAGGTAGATCAGTTTAAGACAATGATACAGGGATGGCGAATGGATGATCAAGACGAACGAAGGGAACATCTAGAGCAGATGAAAGTCATACTGACACAAACCGGCTTACATACAGAAAGTGTTATCAAAGCCACCGGAACAAAGATCGTGGAGAACCAGAACGAAAACCACGAGGAGCTTGTCAGCTTGCTGAAGCAAAGCAATTCGAAGCGCCGAAAAGGTAGGAAACAAATGTACTGCAATTACGATAGTCACTAATTATAGTATCATTTTCAGGGATTTTCGGACTCATGAAAACATTATATATATATGACCATGACAAACGTGTAGTAATCTAAAGTCATTTTATATAATTGTCGTCGGTTGAACGTATTAGTTAGTTAGATGAATATGTTCCCTTCGGCGTCATGTTTCCCAATAGAAGGCGTTGAAGTCGTTTTGCACATAGTATGTGTTGCGAAGACGGTCGGTCAGCGATGATTTCTCCGATAGTTTATAATTATATATTATGAAGAATGTGTTATATCCTGATATTCCTGTCCGATTCAACTGGATTTGAGGACGCTTATTAAACAACTCAAGATGGTGTATTTCAGAACGATATGGAAATTTCAGTATCGACTAATAAAGAAACATCTTCCCCTGAAGTCTTATATAATAGTATTTCCCCAATTGCAGGTAGGTGTATATTCCAAATCATAGCGTCACTTCTATATTGCTACATTTGCACTTTAATAAAGACGGCTTCTTGAAACATGTAATATTGAAAATACTAGTTTATTCCTTGTGTTTTCAGGACAAAATAAAGAGCTCAAGAAGTCGTTTCCGTTACGGATTCATGGTTTCGACAAATTCAAACAGCTTTGTCACTTAATGCACAAACATGGCATTAAGTACACGTTGCCTACGGCGTCAAGCAGCGACTCATCAGCGAATAGTGACCCCGAACTGCTTCCCTTAGAGAGAGACGAGGAAGATGCTGTTGATAAAATTCCTTTCAACCTTTCTCAGTTTGACCGGAGACAATGCATCGATAATGTGTGTCAAGTCAGCGATACGACAAACAACATTCGAAATATTTCAACCGAGATCGCAGCAAACACCAGTAGGGTAAATATGAAGTAGTATTGACAATTTCATTCTGACCGTCCTAAACATTTCTTGAAAATTTAATTAACTTCTTGCATTGATAGCAATATACATAACCAGGACAGGAAAAGCGGTTACACATAACTTGCATGGGTATTGTTTATCCCGAAATAAGAAACGCATGACATTAAGAATGCTATTTTTTTTAGTAATTTGAAAATTATGTTTTCTTCTCTAAAGGTTTTTTTTTCAGCAATATTTTGTAATTTTGTACGGAGCAACGATATAAAGAATATCATCTGAACATATTTTACCATCTAGTGACTTATTCACACTGGTTTCACCGGGAAATGTTAGAACCAATTTAGATCTGAAAGAATATTGAGACAAATGGCTAATAGAATTATGTAACATATATATGTTCATATCTGTACATATTACTCATGTTTTGTATATTGTCATGCTACCAGGTTACTGATGTTAGACAAAAACGTCATTGGAAACAGACTGCAAGAGCAAAACATATGAGTCCTCAAGAAAAAAGATCTCCAATGACTAGAAACGCCAAAAGTTATGGCGTCAGGGTAATTATTAGCTTTTAAACTTTTGTAATAGATACAGTATGCTGAAAAGTATTCCACTGCATCATACAGTTATCTCGTATTTCTACATGTATGACTCATCGGTGATACTTAGGGGGACAACGTTAGAAAATCCGAATTAGTCTAATCTACTGTTGAAGTAGAATGGATTTGTTTTCCTAAAACAATTATCAATGCTACATTGTACCTGTGTGTGAGCACAGCTGCATTTGAGGTTTTACTTTATGTTGGCTAGTTGTTTTGATATGAAGTCAAACTTGATAAATTCCCTTGATCTAATGTACAACGGGTTCGTGGCTAGTAATTATACTTTTTCTTTCATACTCAGTTTGAGGTGAATCTGATTAGTGTCCATCTAACTTCTTCTTTCATTTATAATTTCGACTATGTACGTTATAGACATTTAATAAAGTAAAGATGCAATTTTGCGATTGAAAGGCCAATTCAGAAGATGCAAATGATGAATGGGAAAGTGCTGATGAAGGCTCCAAGCGACAACTGGTAATATCAAGTGGTATTGAAATACCATGGACATTTGGACAGTTTGAAGTAAGTTTTATTAACAAAATAAAATATTTTTTGAAAATGGTATTGTTTCAATGTATTTCTAGTCATTCGGTTCCCAACAGACCAGAAATTAGATATTGACTAATTAGATATCTTTAAAGGTACAGACATCGATGCAGCCGACGTATGGATGCAATTCTTACTGAGGCATAAATCAAAACTGTGCATTCTTGATATATTATAATAGTATAATGGTTATACCATATCTTTTCTGAGCAATTACTGATTTATAATCATTTCATCCAATGAAGATAAATTTGATCTTACCTGGTACTCTTTGTCTCTGCAAAGACGAGACTAGTATGTACACTTATATACAGAGACAAGTATGTTTAATTCAAAACACAAAATTTGGGATCAATCCTATGGAGTTTTCCACTTAATCCAGAGTCTCTTCCTAATTAAGCATTAAGTCATATATATTTATTTAATTGTGTGTAAGTGTTGTAATAATTTTAAAAATGTTAAGTATAAGTTCCGGTTTTGAACAATTGTTGATTCATCATTAATTATGTTGACAATTTGCATTTGTAAATACACATTGTAGCATTAAAGGTTGTAATTATGAATACAAATCAAGAAACATGTCTTAACTTAGCATTTGAAAACCGACAAATATTTGCATTTGGTCATATGTATTTTTACATGTACACCAGATAGTACGGACGCGTATAGGAAACTCACAACAAAATGATCGACAATCTAATACTGATGAAGACGACACTGGTCATTCAATGCAATATTTATTCCAATGAATTCAATACTCGTGTTTCTCCAAACCTAGATCAAGTACATTTTGAAATCACTCATTTCTCCTTTGATTTTATTCAATTATATTCCTTGGAACAACCTGTGCTTGGGAAAAACTTTCTATCACTGAATGCTTAATGTTTTGATTTTTTTCTCAGATTTATTTCTCAGTTATGACGTCAGCTGCCTTATATTGATAAATGTAACAAGTTCATAGAATTGAGTCCATGCCCTTACAGACAGAATTATAAATACAAATGCTAAATATTGTTTTTGTTCAAAAATTAAATATGCTTTACAATACATTACATCGATATCATTTCATGTTATTAACTTTGATTTTTTTTTACTTTTCATAATGTATTCAGGACAAGAATACTAATCATAATTCAGACTGCGATTTGGAGACATGAGTAATTATATGCATGTTTATTGATCCAATCATCGATCACAATTAGGTGAATTATAACGACAATGAACAGTACCTTTAGAAAGAACCCAAAATTGTTGTGTTTCATGTATCCAGTAATATGATACCTCTGTTACTAAGTATACATAAATAACCGTCTTAAAATATTCTTTCTACCGTTTATTCCGTGAATTTTAACATGTCATTTTTTGTGTGGTTACCTTTTGACAGATGCCGTTGTCGTCTACCAAAAATGGTTTGTACAGTGAGGATTCTACAGGTTACAACACCGATCAGATTTCACTCAGCTCAGTGGACGGATTCACGTCAGATACTTCATTTTTCCAACCACGTAGAAAACAAATGCCAACCAGTATACAATGTAATCGGGCAGAAATGACTTCAGACGACGACGAACTAGGAATGTATGACTGGGTAAATGTTAAAAATAAAATCTTCGATAAAAAAATTATTAAGACATTATCGTCATATTGCATGAGTATTCACCCTTATATTTTTATCATTCTGATGAGGATTTCAAAGGATATTGAAGGCATAGCATCGTGTTTGAATATTTTACTTTCATCAATAGATATATATTTAAAATAAATTTATTAATTAGAATGCAGTTTCAGTGTTCCTTCTATCTCTTTGTATTATACCTCACCTATAACAGCATGCTAAATGGGTTAAAATTGATAACCTGAAGGGAAAAATATTATTTCTTCGCCCACTCGAGGTTTCGAGTTATGTTCGGAGTCTCTCCAGACAAATCAGCAAAAGACACCTTAGCAAAAGTGTACACAATTCATCCTAAGGTATATGCATTTATCGATGACACATTCACCATTTGTAATGTACACTCGTATATTTGTTATTGAAGCCTAATACCCCACCAAACGTAACAGATGATGGCTACAGCTCCAATGGGTATTTCAGTAGAGCATACTCTTTTGCTGACAAAAAGGTAATTATACGACGTTCACTATGTGTTTAGAATGGATTTCGTATTTTTAGAACAAGCATCCACTACGTGGAGGCACGATAGTCTAGTGGTAGGACACCGGGATCGTGACCGAAGGGTTGCGGGTCCGAGTCACGTCACGGCACTGTGTTGAATCTTTAAGCAAGATACTTTACTCCGCTTGCTTCAGTCTACTCAGATGTAAATGAGTACGTGGTTGGGCATTGCAGGAATTGTAGAATGCTAGCTGTGAGCGCCGAAATGGCAGCACCGGTTGCATGCTCCCAAAGAAGTTGAGAAAAATATTGGCTGGTTGCAAAGGCCCTATAACCACGGATACTAATTTGTGAACCGCTTTGAGACGACCTATGGACTAGGTTGTGATAAAGTGGTATATAAGAACCTCGAATTATTATTATTAGTAGTAGTAGTATTCGACCTTAGATGATATATCATTACCGTATAGAGAACAATGGGAAACAGGGAGGGAAAACCTAAGTTTCATTACGTAGTCGTGTTTCAATCCATGAAAATCCAAAAGCATTTCACTAAATATGTGTATTTCGCAGAACAAGGGAATATCGGTGCCAAGGCTTATTATCGATATTAATAACAATGATGCTAATGATAGGAAAAGCAACTCATAGCTAATAAGTAAACATATGCTGTCTCCAACAGACTGATGATTACAGCAGTCAAGAAGAAGAGGGTACCTGGAAAATAAGAAGAGACTCGCATCTTCCCAAACTGGAATTGTTGTTAGAGGTTTCAGAATCAGTGAGAGCAAAGGTATGTTCTATCCACAGCTGCCTAAGAAATTGTGTTTGTGTGACTGTAGTGTTCGATGTTTTCCTATTTATATATACCTTATTTATGTTGGGATTTGATACTATATATAATCACTGGATCAAATATGTAGGAAACACAATATATTTCAAACAAAATAACATTAAAGAACATTGTTATCAAAAAATGATGATTGCATATTTTGCATTTGATGCGGTAATGTACAATTCACGAGTAACGACCTTAACCTACAGTTTGGAGAAAACTTAACTTGGTAGCCTAGTTCACTGGAGTTAACAAGAAAAGTGAACTCCAGTTCACTAGCTTGTGCACTGAAGTTCACATTGTTGGACATCGGAGTTAACACTGAAGTGAACTGGAGTTCACATCAACGTGCACTGGAGTTAACTACAGTTCGCAAGACAATTTTCTTTATCATTTTATTTCTGGCCTTAATTTTAATCAGTTGTTTTCTCTCCTCCCGTCTGTTCAATAAATAAATAAATAAATAAAATATTAGATGTTACATATTCATATACATAAAATGATTTATGTGAAAATAGCATAATAGCATAATAACTACCGAGCGTGATGACCTATTAACTTATTAGCACATGCACCGACTTGGATCCATGGTACCTAAAGATATAATCACCATTTAATAGTTCCTGTGTAGTTATAACGGTATTACATCTACATAAAATATACAAATCTATGGTTAGATTAATAGTACATGATAGTTAATCATAAGTCTTTTTCTGTATATTCATTTTGAAAAAAATTGGAAAGCTCATGTAGGTAATTATATAACTACATATATTGTCTCATGCATGATGGGTAGCAATGTATTGTAGTTACAGGAATGCAGATCTGAATTCCAACAAAAGATTTATTTAGAAACATGTAAATATGTCGGGTTTCCAAAATGACTTTTCTACAGGTAAAAGCACAGTTTACACACCAGCTGTAGAAATTATGTTTCTCTCTCTATCTCTGCAACGGAGGGTGTGGATGGTCCTCAGACCATTAACAAATCACTATGCACCAATGATTTGTATTTTCATAGGAATGTCATAATCTTTTCAATTGTCTCTTTGTAATCTTTTTAAGTAAACTTAGATTTTCTTTAAAAAAACAACACAACACTAAACACCAAATAATACCGATTCTTTAAGAAGTGTGTAATTTTCTAGTACGGAATTAGATCCTGTCCAAGTCTGTGTTTCTAGTAAGAAAATATATATATATAGCTACATGTCTTCTATGAAAATTAAATGTAAGAATAAACTTTAAAAATGTCTAAAAACTAAGAATTTGTATTATCCAATCAAAATAAACAACTAATGGTATTGACAGCTCGCTTATTCATAGTGTATATAAGTTATGAACGAATACCATAGTGATATATATATATATATATATATATATGTGTAATTCTGTTTTCAAAAATGAGAAATTAACTACAAATGATGACTGTTCCAAGTCCTTGGATATCATTTGGATAAGAACAGATTTGAGTGTGTTTTCAAAAAAGTACTAACATTGTTTTATTGATTTAACCTTCTCATAATCCTTTCCGATTTATTATGAAATTTTCAAATTTAATGTCCTAATTGACCTTTTAGACCCATTAATTGATGCTGGGGTGTGGTATCAATTAGTGCCGACTACCTATGTCACACCAAGTTTGTAAACCATTTTTGAAAAAGAATTGTGCCCGAGGCTGTAATTTCCTGACGAAGGGACAGACACAATATCTTACCTCGTACCCGTGTACTGATTTACCTGTGTATCTACTGGACAGACAATGGCATGGATTAATTGACAGGATTAATTGCGTTCAACCAAGTAGTTCAAGATTAGGTACAGCCCATCAGAACCCCATGTGACCACAAGTGAATGGTCAGTAGGTAGTCATTGCCCATATATTCTCAGGTAGATATCATATTGAACAAAATATGTGTCAGTGGGTGGTTACATTGCCCTAACAACCATCTTTAAATCTACCACTGAAGGAAAGTTGAAACTGTATGATTAAAACTTGATGTTCCCTTAATTGATTTGAATTTTTATTAGTAAATCGATCAACTTATTTCATTTTTGTACGTGTATATTTAACTTTACCTACATGTGCTTGAACCCTGCAACCATGAATTTTGTCATCATTTTAACAAGTGTTAATTCATTACTGCTAAGTTAGTGTGGGGAACACAGTAGACCCAGATGAGGGGTTGGTGATTGGGGGATGTATTTTGTTATTCAACCATCAGCATGTACATGTACCTGACGTGGTGTATACATATATAACAAAGAAATCAAAATCAGACTAGCTCATAGTTTTTTTTCTTAATTTTCTTATAAGAAGACAACTTGGGATTAACGAACTTAAATTAATTACACATCTTTAGCCTGAGCTTTACCTTTTATCTATATATAGTGCCATGCCATGATATAAGATTTTTCTTGAATTTTATCTTTTCTTGACTTGTTTGTATAAACAACCTTTCATAAAAAGTATAAAATTATAGGAAAACTTCCCACATTTACCCATATCACATAACAGATACTGATCCCCTATCCTGACACTACAACATTGATATGAAATGTGATGTGAATTTAACTATGATAAAGTGTACTTTTAAACCTTTTTCTCGGAAATAGTACAGATATTTATAGATTTTCTATAAACACAAGAGTGTACAATTTATCTTTGTACATGTACAGCAGGGAGTATATGTTCAGTTGAAATTTTAAGTAATCAAAAAACAAAAAATATGTGTATCGTTGATTCGATATTATGAAATATTCAGTTGAATGATTCTTTCCTTTCTCTTTCAATTTTCATATCTGAAAGGAACCCATTTCATTATAAACGATTATTGAAATATGTACTTCAGTCTTTTAAACTTTGGTAAACACTGTAGTGCACTGGAGTTAACACTTAAGTGAACTAGAGTTAACACTGAAGTTTACTGGAGTGCACTTCAAAGTTTTGTCATATGCAATTCCTTGTTCACTTGAACAAACGTACAAACTATACCCTTATTGATTACGCATGTCTTCCATATAGTTAGAGTCCATTAACAAAAGGGAATCCACTCCTTCGATACATTTTCAAATTACACTAATACTTTTCAGATATTTTCTATAAGATTTATTATTATTCATTATACAATTTCGTCACATCGTTGTACTGATTAACTATACAAATTGTTCACTCAGTTATAGCGTAACTAAGGGACCAGTCGATCTTGAAACGTTATAACACGTTTATTACGTACATTGTTGGTGTATAAAGTACAACTTTGATATTAAAGTTTATCAGATTATTATGGAGTAAACACAGTTAATAGGGGAAATGACACAGTGAAGACAGAATCAGACTGGTCTAGAAAGGTCAACCTGTGCAAATCAACATTCCCTACATATATCTCTTGATTACAATGTCATTGCAGGAAAGGGGTTCTGACGTGGACCAAGAAATCCCGATCGCTGTCCAGAGGTACAATGCATGTTACATTGATATATTATTCACTTTTAAATCAAATACATATAGCAAATCAAGTTATGTAAGGGACCGTTTAAACAAGGATTGATTAAATCTCGACATTTTTCTATTATTTGAAATTGTTCCACTGATGGTTGAAAAGGGATTAATTGATAAAAAGATATATCTCGTTCGAATTAAAGTATTGATTTCCGCTTCTCGTACTCCTATATTAAAATGTCATCGAATACTTACTCTATACAAACATGTTTTCATCTCGTTCTTAAACAGAGCTCGTGTTTCAACCGCCGATATATCAAGATCATTCCAGTTAGTTCAGTTATCAGAAACTCAGCGCTTAGACAGAGGTTCACAGACTGACAACCATACCGACGATAGAGGAAAGGAGATAAAAGAAACATTAGTGTGAAAATAAAAAACAAGGTTTGGAGGTTACAGGGATCCGCCGGATACTTTTACATGTATGTCAATTACATTTCATTGTATACATCGTCTGTTACATTTGGTTTTGTCTGATGGTGGAAACGTTTTGTTTTCATCATATTACCGTCATCCATTTTGATTTTCTAATAATTTTCTCAAGATTAATAATAATAAACCCTATTTGCCAAATAGGGGTTTTATACTTAAATGTTGACACTTTGTTTTAATGTTTACATTTGCCTGATAAGGTCTAAATGAGACTTTACAATAATCTAAAATTGTTTTGTAAAGGAAAAATCCACTTTTTGTATTTTTACTGTTAAATAAAGGAAAGATATTTGAAAACATAGCAAAACAAAACAATCATCATGAAAATGTGATGTTAACCTCGACTTTCTTTCGGTCAGTATAAATATACAATTGATAATATATTCTGGTAAGCAATGATAAATAATACACTGCTACTTTCCGCAATTTTCAAAACATGCTATAGTCGTATAATAATAATAATTTACTGTTAAGATCTATATTATTTTGTTCCTTTGGCAGAATAAACCGATATTTCACTTGTGCTTCGCACTCATGAATTATACGACTTTAATCACACATTTTTAATTACTGAACAAATCTCAAAAACTGAAAAGATTAAGTAGGGAAGGATGTTGTTCATATATATCGCTTGTAGTACATGTGTATAGAACCTCATTATTCATCACAAAGTGTAATGGCTTCTACAAACAGAATTTCAAAACAAGGGGACAGTGTGATAAAATCCAAAGCAGTGATGGGATAGACAAAATACCCCGAAGTGTCAATGATCAACTGAATTGAATTTATTTTTGTGACCATTTTTAAGGAATGTATTCTATGTTATTCCATTTCTGCTATCCTTGCATTACTAATCTTTATTTCATGCGAAATGTTGTTAAACAGTTGAAAGTATTCGTTTATTTTATTTGTATTTCGTTTTTGAATGAATGGTTTATTAGAGAATGTTTTTTCCTCTAACAATTGTATGCTTTGGTTACTAAAGGAAAAAAGTGTAAATATCACCAACTTCTACTAAAGAGTACAAAGTGGAAGTAAAACCAAACATACGCCTAAAAGAAACCGCCATCTGCAGTGGACAGCATTTAACATGCCCTTTATTAGCATGCATTGTTTTAAATTATACAACTTTCCTGTAATTATATTCTTTATCGATTTCGAAGTACAATTATTTGTTTTTCGAATTTTTTAACATATCATGAATTTTTAATTTTGTTCTCTACCAGTTTAAATTATAACATACTTTTTATAGGTCCCATTTTATAGGCCGGGATTTCTGTTCTATCAGACACACTTGTTCCTTCCGTTTGTTATGTCCTTTATGTTTACACAGTCCTTTGTCAGAATAATATGACCATAAGTTATGATATTCTACAGTGTCTGATGGTTAGTCTCTGGGTTCAAATTAAGAATCTTAAATTCCAGTTTCATTTGATAATGTGTTTTATGTGCATGTAAAGGTATCAACGTTAAGGATATGATACGCATTTTCACAAGATCTAAAATATTTCCAAACATTTTTTTGTTTTATTTACATATTAAATTTGGATTTACGTCAGTGACTCTATCATACACATTGTACGTGGTCCATGGTATGCTATTTCAGTGCGATGACAATTGCTCTAGCGCATCCCCATAACCAAGGGACAATGTCAGCATATGACCGTAACCACCAGGTAAAAAAACATAAACAGATATAGCGATTATAAATCATTTGATTGTATTTTATGTAAACATGTTATTCTGTTGTATAGTTATACAAATTAGTATGTATTGAAACTAGAGATATGTTTGGAACATGTCTGTATGATACCATTACTATACTGGATATGTTAAGTGATTTTGTGGTGATGAATAAACATATGAAGCGTATAGTATTGTCTTATTAATGTAATTAATTACACGTCAGTGTAAATGTTTATCGACTTCTGTTGCACGTTCAAGTGATGCTAATTTCAAAAAATGAAAGTCGAGGTGAGATCTGCTAGGAAAAAATTCAAATCGAGGCGTTGTTATAACAGCTAATCACCCCGAGCCTAAGATTCATCAACAGGTTATTCTACTTCGCGATCTCTATGACACAAATAAAGGATATCTAACAGTATCTTCAGCTATAGTGCGTACTCATTAAAGATATCAAAATATTAGCCACACGAGTCATATTTGGTATTACTGAAGACACTGTTAGATATTCTGTTTATTACATTTGTTATGAAATCTTGAATTACTCTTTTGAATAAAGTATGTACTTGAGTTATTTTAATTTTTGATTAAGTATGCCAAAATTACTTTCATAGTGTAATAATTTAATTAAAGTCCCGTTCAATCAACTCAAAGCGTCGTTGATGAACGCTAAATCTAAAATGGTGTGTAGTGGGGAAGTTACAGAGTAGTTGTGTCACCACTTATCCTGATGATCAAATCTCAACACCACATATGTCAGTTATACTTAATCACTACCAGAAATGACCCTGGTTCTCTTATATTTTCTGCCAATTGCTTCGACCAACGTTGGACTGACGCCGTGTTTTATTTGACACGAGTTTCAGCCGATCAAACAATTAGAACTGCCGACCTGCATAGTCTGCTCGAATCCTTAAAATGAAAGTTAACTGTGGAATTAAAATGTTGTGTTTCCCCCAGGGAATACTACCCCCATGATAGGTAACCGGTCTGATTATACTAGGCAGTAAAATGGGCTGACCAGGCTTTGACTATATGGGCAACTTGTAATTGTTCTCGTGTAGTTTGCTATCAGTGTTTTGATTGGTCAAATAAGCAATACTAATAATAATAATAAGTTCATAGAATAAATAATTTCCAATATTTTACTGGTAAAAATGTAATACAAACTCTTATTAAACATCGACTCATTCTAAATTTATCGCATCCCTATGTATTCGTTTATGGGAATATGCGTCCCATTGACATTGTTATCAAACAATTTAATCCGCGTAAGGAAAACATAACCTTTTGAAACAGCCTATAAATCCATGTTTACATCAGACGTGACGTCAGTAATTTCTTTCCAGCTGAAAGACGGAATATGCGACGTCTGCCTGGAACCTTCTGTATTGAAATTCCTAGGGAGACACTTTTTGTAGCACTTCGTTCATAGTATACGCAGGAACAACTACAGTGTAACTTAAATAATCTCCATTTTTGAAGTACAACAAACATTACAGGTCATGCTGCGATTGTTATTAATGCTTCAAATGAAAATTAAAATGCCTGTATGCACAAACTCGTCATTATGGCATAACGGCAGAAACGGATGCATTGTTTGTGTATTGGATACTATTCTAATTGTAATAAATGTCCTCATGTAATTTATACTTGTTTTCCTTTCCTTTGTTATATGAAACCAATCATAAACTGATAAATACCTACTGAACACATTTTGATGGCACACACCTTTAACATTTTGACACCTGTGCCTTTGCAAGTGAAAAATCTTTCTGATATATAATGGGTTGTAGTCAAAACTCGACATGCACTGAGTAGAAAAGAAGAATATTTCCTGCACAAAACTAATGAAACAGGATGCCGAAAATCGCATAATTTAGCCAGAAGAAACGATCGAAATAGAAAAATATACCTCCAACCTTACCTGAGCTTTCTTTGTCCGAGATCAAGCAGCAATTGATATATGACCATCTAGTTTATTGTCTGCTGTAGCTACATTTATGGGCACGGAAATAATTGAATATTCATTCCTGTATCAGTTTTTACAGCATATCAAGCTAAGTACAAAAAACGACACTACATGAATTGATTCATCTTAGATATCACATTTATTTGCATCAATTTTAAGTTTGAATCACTAAATTAATTACAGATAATCTTATATATTGCACGATCAATCGGAACCAATCGTTGTCACCCATAGTACTATACAGAAAAATAAATGACAGTTATCAGGTTTATAGGCATTGTGTCAATTTTCATGTCCAGATTGATTTCCAAACATACGTCATACTTTTAAATGAAATAAAGAGGTGTCTGAAAAGAATGCAGTGATGTTCATTTCGCCACGTAATATAGAGGCAGTCATGAACAGTAGTTTAAATGTTCGCCTGTCTTCAGGAGAGCATTAATCACCTTCTACACATTATCAATTTTTATGATGCATTTAGTATTCTAAACTGTTTTCAATTCAGTTGTATTGATACACATTTCTTTTCTTATATTTTGTTCATTATCATTCGTTTTCCTAAATCATCAAAGATATACCAGATCACTAACATGGAGCACATTAAAACTGGAAGTTTCTGCCTGCAAAATCCTTCATATCGTGCGATTCGATCACGGCTTCGGCAATCTCAACGTTAAGTTGTCTTCTTTAAAGACCTCTTTACTTTAAGTAAGTCGATAAGACTTGGGAAGATGCACTGCAGAGCGTACTTGACACTTGTAAAAATGCGTTGGTCAAACACATTCTATCTTAACACACATCTCAAGAACGTTCATGTTATAGTGCTCAGTCACAACGCCATAACAAAAATCGCCAGTTGATCTTCGGAGATCAATTGTACAGTTCGGTAATCCTTTTACTTTCAATGGATAAAGAAGAGACACGTTACACTTTGTCATCTTATAAAGTATACAGAGTCAAGTCTCTTCACCAGAATGATGGTCCTCTTCCTCAGGTACACGAGTTATCTTTTCTTCCATTTCGGCGTCAGAGACCTTCACACCTTTCTCGTAATATAATGGATAAACATCGTCAGAATCATGTGAAACCACTGACGCTGCGCGAGACGATGGTCTAGCATTAACGTCTGCAAACACAATTTCGCCGGAAGTTTATCTGGAAGCTTATAACCATCAGTAGAACCCGCGAAGAATGAAGGTTCCGGGTTTTGACTTTCCTTCGGAAACAGTGGGGGCGAAAAGAAGGTTTTATATTCTGGTTCCTTCATCATCACAACCCTTTTCGGGCTTACGAAAGACGGGGTCACGGGGTCAGCTGCCCGCCATTTTTGAAGGACAGCTCGTGCTTTTGCAGCGTCAGATTTATTTTCAGTAAATCCTAGCGATTTTGATACTTTTCCACTGTTTATTTTAAAATTCAAATCTCTTACGTTTACAAAGAACATTTGAGATAGCTTCCTGCACTTGTCATAGTTCGTTGCTTGCCGTTTCAAACGAGCTTCTAAAAACGGCAGCTTTCGCTTTTTCTCGCGCTCCTTTTCGAACTCCTCATCCGGATCATTGAACTATTTGGGACTCGATGTCTGGCGATTTCACCTCTAGCGACTTTGTTTTGAATTTCTTCATACGACAGTTCTGGCAGATACTTTTTTAAAATCGATGCCACTACTATATTTTCATTCGAGATTCTCAAAGTTCTTAATTGCGTGTCAGTCCGTGCGCGGTCCAGTGTTCGAATATGATATCGACTACAATCTCGACACGTCTGAGGCCCCATAATCTCGCAACATATCGGTGATGGTGATGCAGGGTTTATGGTATTATGCCTCTCTAATTCGCCAAAGTAGAAATCTCCCTCCTGTCTAGAAGACACTCGAGAAGGCACCGGATCACTTCGGTTACTCTTTGGAGTCATACTTTCCCGTTGGACTGCGTGTATGTAACGACTGGCGCTAGTATTTGGACGACTTCGATTGTGTCCGTCCAACTGATTGCGGACACTCTGATGGGCAGCCACCACTGGTACTATTCAGAGTCAGCACCAAACAATTCTCATTTCACTTACTTAACATTAACCTCTAGCACACCAATTTAGCACACACTCAGCAATTTTATTATTTTGCACACATATTTATAACCCATACCACTCGCATATTTTTTAAAAGAAATCTTGGTGACTCTGTTTATGTATTTTTTTACAGTATCTTAAGTAATTAAATACTTTATTTAAGTAAATTTGATAGAATTTTGACAATTAAACACACTTAGAATTCACACAAAACTCAAAAATTCTACACAAAACATGAATCATAAAAGGTTATCAGATATCTATATCAACTGATTAGCTATCAATTATACAGACTTACATATAGCACTTCTTGCTCCCTGGGATGCCGGCACTTTACAGGGAGAATATTTGGTGTAGGGGAGATGTAATGCTATAAACAGTTAATTATCTGAGTAAACACACAACCGAAACACATTAAATCAATAAACAAGATGTTGTTGAAGGTATATACATGTATTATCACAGGAATAACCATAAAACTACAATTCACTAAAAAATGAAATTTAAGTTGGATTTAGCCAAAAAAACTATATGTGACACATACACATACAGATACTCACATGTGCTACGTTTGTAACAGCTTGTTCTGCGGTGCTGAGGGGCTACTTGCTGTCCATAGTCTTGTTGCGCACGGTATAACAGTTATGTAGAGACATTCAACCTATGACAAAATGAAAATTTCAAAAATCATAAGACTCAACAAAAAACATGTTCAAATCTGGAGGGTCTGAATATGAAACTATGACAGCACAACTTCATGCAGAAGCCAGCTAACAACTATCATACACTTGGAATGACCACATTTATTATACCGAACAATGAATTGTTGTCTAATGCTGAATTGTGCTTTAAAATGTGTGAAAACTGTGTTATGTAACTTGTGCTAAATTCTGTGGTGTACTTTTACACATGGGGATATGCTGAAACAGGTTATTTAAGTTTCAATTTGAAACTTTTAAGAGATATTGAGCTTTTAAACTTGAGTTTAATCACTGCTTTCTTTTAAACATAGAAATAAATATAATTTGAATGAGGGAAGTGTCCTAATAATGACCGAGAAGAGGTGGTTGGACAGGGAGGGGGAGGGTGGGGTTGAACATTGTGCAGGACAGCACACTATTTTTTTTGTTCTATGAAGATTTAGGTGTTAAAAGGTAGTACACAGATCATAATAGTACTATTGAAACACATGCAGATAAAGTATTTCAGTAAATTGAACACAATCCTAATAAAAACCTGAGTATTAGGGTCAGGTTAACTATACTGGCTTTAGCACAGAGCCATATTTAGCCCAGATTTAACCCAATTATCAAGTTTTATCAAGTTAAATATATATTCACATACTGAACAAAATGTGCCGAGACCCAATAACAGTGTCTGTATTTAAAAAAAAAGTGTCTGGAAATATACAGAAAATGTGTGAGAGGTCAGGTTCATTGAGCACATGGCTATTTCCCTTAGATCATTTACTATATATGGTATTACCAAACATTTTAGTTAATTACTTTAATATTTGAAGTTCAAAACTAGTGACAACTGTCTAGATTCATAAATACATACTTTGCAAAGACTACAAAATGTCTTTTTTGGTAGGTTAAGTGGCATATTGGAGTGTCACAGCGCCAAGAAGTTGACAACCGGAAGTTTACACGCAAAACCGGTGACCCAAAACAGAAACACCCCCAGACATTTTGCCCCTGTGCAAATCCGCCCACAGTCATCGAAATATATTAAAAGTATATTTTTTTCAAAAGTTAAATACCTGAAAATTTCATTTATCTAAAAATCTGTCATCAGTTCCTTGTCAAACTCCTTCAGTGGCCCAGTAATTAGCCGGAACTTATTTCAGATATGAACTACAAACGTATGAAACACTTGCTGATTGGCTGATTTAGTTGTGCGAGTCCTTAAAAACGTAACATGTATATTTCCTTTAATTGTTCAACGTTTTTATTATAGTCGACACTTAGTCGACAATTATAGTAGTTGAACAATTTCCAATACGCTAGGTTTGCGAAAATCGGCAAAATCATGATAATTAGGCCTACGTACATGACGTGATTCGTAATACAAGGAGCCATAAGGAAGTATAAAAATAGGTAAATATTGCGATTTAAAAACTAAAAAGTAGAAGATTTTTTATTTTATTCAATCTTTTTCAACACATTTTATTGGACAAAAAAAATGCACAATTTGATAAGACAACAGGCTTAGCCTTTATAAGTCTTCTCCTATCCGGTATTAATTGACAAGAAGCATAAATTTAGTACATGGATCAACGAGACACATTCATGTACACTTACAACCATTCCATAACACACATACACCCTCACATACACATAATAAATAAGCATTCACACACACACACACACACACGCACATACAAACACACACACACACACACACTTACTAAAAATTAAAAAAATATATATAAAGATATACATATCGAAAAAATAAGATTAACGACTGACTAAAAAACTAGCTGCTTTCACCCTTCACAGCGTTCTTCAGGTTTATTCAAAAGAAGAACTTCATGACGTCACAATTATGTCATCACACTGCAATAGTGACGTCACGTCACGAAGTACACAAGATTGGTGGACAATTTAGCGTAAAATTTTACTGTGGCCTGTTGAGACTTGGTTTTAATATTTTGATTAGTTGGTCTTCTTTCGTTTCTCTTAAAAGAGTGGCTGATGAAAATAGTTGATACAAAGGTAATACATTAAATTTATCTCCAGCACATTCATGAATATGTTTGTTAACATGAAGATTTCATAAAGAATCAGTTTTAGTTTGTTGTCTATGTACAGTCATACGTGTTCTGAGTTCATTACCGGTTTGACCGATGTAAAAATCACCACATTTAGAACAAACTATTGCATAAATTGCATTTTTTGATTTACAATTCATATTTACCTTCACAGTAAATTTCAAACCATTCTTGAAAATAAAAGTATTCCACTCGATAATCATAAAAAAATGTAGGACATGTAGCACATCTTGGTGTCTTACATTTGGATACTTTTGGTGTTACACAAGAATTATCAAACTTAGAACATGTCAACATACGTTTCAAGTTCTTAGATTTGCGTCTACAATGTAAAATAGCATGTTTATTAAAAATGTTTCTCATACGCCTGCTACTTTCCTTTAACTCTTTGCATTTGTTCTTTATCACAGGAAACATATTACAATTCCGTGGATTGAAAGTAGAAACAAAAGGAACTAACTTTGATTCATCCTTTAATTTTTGTAGACGGGAAGTAAAGGGTCCCTTTTCAATAGCTTTCTGTATACCATGTTCTATTATCTCAGTAGGATAACATTGAGCTTTAAGGTATTGCTTTAGTTGACTGAGTCTAGCAATTTGAGCTTGTTGGTCACTGACGATAGTGACAATCCGTGAGGCAAGAATAAAAGGAATAATAACTTTAGTGTGTTTACTGTGGTTAGAATAAAAAAATTAGATAATTATGTGCATCTGTAGCCTTACAATATAAAGCCGTTGTAATCTTATTTGAATCAAGTTGAACTAAAACATCTAAGAAAGGTAAAGACGTTTCGCTACACTCCATCGTATAACAAATAGAATGATGTAAAGAATTCAATAGGTTTTGAAATTCATTTAAATCCTTATCAGAAGGCCATATAACAAAACAATCGTCAAGGAACCTTAAAATATTATTTCTGATGAATTCAGTAAAGTTTTCCCCAAACTTTGTTTCAATCTTAGAATAAAGTGTTTCCTCTATGTATCCTAAAACTAAGGTTGCATATGCAGGGGCAACTTTAGTTCCCATTGCTGTACCCTTAATCTGTTGGAAGTATTCTTGCTCAAAATAAAAATAATTACGATTGAGGACAATGTCTAGAGCTTGAAGTATAAATTCATTACTAAAACGAGAATTAACTTTTTCTCTTTTTTTGATCAACCAATATTTAACAGCTCCAATACCAAGATCATGCGGTATATTAGTGTATAAACTAACAACATCAAAAGAAACAAGTTTAGCATTATGTGGGACCTGTTTAGATAAACGGCTCAGAAAATCAAAATCGTCTTTGATATAACTGTTTACACTTGTGCATAAAGGTTTAAGAATGACGTCTACAAGATGGCTCAAACGTTGCGTTGCACTATTAGGGCCGCCTACTGTGGGTCTAAACTTCAAATCTTTTTGAAAAAGAAATTTCAACTTCAATATATTTACAGTTCTGTTCTTCTATAGCTTTACTTAAAATAGAGCTTTTGTGTAGGCAAACCATAGAAATAACTAGTTTATGCATAAAATTGACAAGATAATCTATCTCCTTTTCATGTAGGCGTGCTTCATGTGTCCGTATTAGCTCGTTGATTAATCTTCGGGTTTCCGCATCGAAATCGTCACTTGCCGAAGTATAAAATTCAACATTACTAAGCATGTTATGTATGCGTTCATAATAGAAATATCTATTCATGATCACTACTGCATTGCCTTTATCAGCCTCTTTGATAATAATAGAGGTATGTGTGTTATGGAATACATATATATACATATAAATAAATATAAGTATAAGAGGCAATGAAAACAGTCCTAATTTTAATTAAATCTGTTAGTAGCAGAAATGTATTGCTGAACTTTTGAGAGAATAAATAAATTATCATCAGTAGAAAGATAAACATTACTAGATGTAAGTAGATCCACAGATGAATATCCAAAACGATTAGTGATGTCAGTTATGAAATGTCTATAGCTAATATAAAGTGGACATAAGAAGAAATAATGTTCAGCATTTTCACAAGATGCGCCACATGAGCAAGATGGATCAACTATCAAGTGATCATTGCATTTATAAAAATTTAAATTGCTAGCATTATTACGTAATTGACACAATACAATATTTAGGTTTTTTTTTGGATTACAGAAATGGTCCTGGGAGGTGTTTGAATTTTATTAATTTTCTTTTTGAAGGAATTGATAGTCCGAGAAGAAGTGATTGAATGATCGAGATTGTTCACTAGGCGCATGGCATCAGGAAAGAAACTACAGTTGTAGATACAAGTTCTAGAATGAGGAATGTTAAAACATATATTTGTCCTTAAATGGTGATTGACTTGTATATTAATATAAGGTTCAATGATTTCAAATAAATAATGAGGTGGTTGAGGATTTTATACATTAAGTGGTTGAGGATTTTATACATTAAGACAAATTGATGCTTATTCAGTCGATCTTTCAATTTTTCAAAACCTGTTTCATAGTATAATTTTTGATGAGATGTACCACTTTTAAGGCCAGTTAAAATTTTCATTGCTTCAATTTGAACGGATTTTATTCAATCGCATTATATACCTCGTCAACGGTAAATCGGCTGATCTAATCTGCGTCATCGTGTGACATATTTCAACGAATGTTGCCTATTTTATATTAGTATTACTCCTGCACGTGTTTTTTATGTTTCCTACAATTTTCCTCATACTTATATTCGCATATGAACCACCTTTTGGCTTGTTGAGAAAGGCTTGTTTTCTTTAGGACTATTTAATTTGATATTCGTCTCAAATCCACCTGACATTTGCTAAAGCGTTACCTGCACGCGGTTTCTATTCATGGTTTGCATTCGCAATAAGATAACTAATATCTAAGGGCAAGGGTTAAATACAAGGGCGAATGATCAGAGTATTGAAGTCGCCCGAAGAAAAGTTTCTAACAAGTGATATGTATTGGAATATTCACTATCTGCATGAAAATAATTATTAATGATAATAAAATAACTGCACAAAATAAGGAAAATTTATCTTTAATCACTAGGGTGACGCACATTAGCATTTCCCATGCTGCTTGATTTAAACCATGGATAGTTATTTTCTTCCATGTGTATTTCCATTTTTTGTCATTGTACTTACGTCCAATGTTTACCAAATAATACCTGAAATCAAAATTATTCAAAATATCTGAACTATTAAGGCGATCATTTCCTATAAAATTATACCTAAACAGGACTTAGCATTAAGATAAGCGGTAATATAGATATTCCGTTCGTTTTATAAAATGATCATGTCCATATTTCAGAAGGAAGACTACAATGCCGCGGATGCAGTTTTTGCTAGTGGTGTTGAAAGTCGAACACAGTCCACACCCGTACAACATTCCAAGTATACCGAGACCATGGATCAGATCCTGAACACCCCGGCAGCCCTCAGTGTTCTGTCAATGGGCTACAGCAAGGACATGGTCTGTAAGGCCGTAGAGAGGTGTCTTCAATCAGGTACATACATCTCATTATAATACGATAACATTTATATTCACGCGAATGTGAAAATATAAATAATAAATCGAAGATATTTTCTCATTACTATCTCCTTCTTTTTCTGTTTTTCAGGGAATAAAGCTATTTTTTGTATCACAAGATTTGATATGGCATCAATACATATAATAATCCCCATAATTGCAATAGTTTCAGTTACTGAACATAAGGAAATGTACGCTAATATGAAATTTGATATTTTTGCTATATAAATATTTCGTCGCATAAACATAAAGATCCGCGACTATAGATTGAATATGAAAAAGATGAATTTATTTAAATATCCACATTTTTACAATTTTCATTGAAAACGTAGATTATATTTTTTTCCAGTTTAAGGTAAAATTGATGTCAAATTCTTATCATACAATATTCTAACTGTCACAGGGAAAACGAAACTATCTGCCACAGAAATAATGACGGTAATAATAGATATGGAGGAGGAAGAGGAAATCGGGGAAAACCTGGAAACAGAAAACGTGCTAAGTGAGACAAAATGTGAAAATGTATCGGAAAAAGAATGTGAAATTGAACACGACAAACGTGAAAAAGAAATCGACTTTGTTAATCATCACATATCAGACTCAAAAATGTATTCCCAGTGTACAGAAGAACCATTATCGGGACAAAATACTATTTATACATAGTAGCCTACTACAGTGTACACGTCATCAGAGCCGATCTCCAGCTATACATCAACAGGGGCTCATCGTCCTGTTTTAGATAATTTTAAAGCGTTATCTTTACCGAAGGAGTTGACTCCATAGACAATCTCTTCTCCCGCACTCCGTCAAGTGGACGGTAAGATATCCTATCTAAATAATATTGGGACTAAGTGTGATGTTTATTACTGTAGAATCATTTATTTTCGTGGGGTTAAAATGTCGTGGTTTTCATATACTAAAATGATTAAGTTTACCAAACATCGAAAGATTGCACATCGTGGCTGTGTTTATATATCGGGAATGCTTCTGGCTTCAGGAGAACACAAACTCTGTTTTTGTTCTTTAGACAACTTCAAAAAAAGTCTTCATAAATTCATTATCTGATAATGATTAACTAACCAGGTTTTTAAAGTGAGTAGTTACAATTCTTGTAAAGTTCAATAATTTAGCTCTGAAAATACGTTTTTTTTAAGAATAAGCAAGTTAAAATGGCGGCTTTGATGTGCGAGGGTTATTTTTCATGACACATTAGAACACGAACTCCTTTTTAATTCACTATCCAACTTCAAACATATCTTCAGATATCAATTATTTGATAATATTTCTAACCAAGTCTCGCGGCGTTTCTAATTCCACTGCCTGAACAATACAATCATGCGTGTTTCTGCGTGAGTTGCCAATCTCTGTAATATACGTCCTTGTCTACCATTAGTTTCTCAAATACCCAAAACATTGGCAATAATATTTATTACACTAGTATGAAATGCCTACCCATCGCTGTGGTGGTAGAGACATTTCTGACGTGTCTGGTGTGTAGAGCATAAGTCTAAACTGCTCGATGTCAGTCAGAGAAATGAGTCGCTTCTTTCTACCTGGGTTGCATCAGCCAATCAGTATTAACCAATGACGTCACATTTGTAGTCCGCCAAAGTCTAAACAAACGCGAAATGTTCTTATGGAATTTCGCGGAATTATGACAGTTAAAACAAAACAATAGCACATCGCTTATTGAAGCTACGAAGGATATATGTCTGAATCGAAGTTGACGAATCTCGCCATTTTGAACGGCATGTTCGAGTCACAGTCGTAGCTGAAGATAGATTTTGGAAATTTCTCTTACAATACGTATTTACGTCAAACTAACTCATGTATTGTAACATGGTTGAAATTTGCATATCAGTAGACAGTAAATTCGTAAACATTAACCCCTTCGTCGTGGAGCATTCGATCCGAATGACGTAATTAATTGGATATTTCCATAATTCGTTGAAGCACGTGCATGCCTGTCAAGGTTATGTAATTGCCTTGAGAATGGATTGGTTCGAGATTCTTACTTCAGACGTTGAAAACCTCAAACTATATATTATTCAATTTAAACAATCGTAATTTAATAACATACAGCAGATATGCGAAACGTTAGTATTTACATAATACTTATTTTCTGTTACATTTATCTATCTCACTGTACTATCTACCAGAAGACAGTTCGTCCACATATTCAAATAAAGCTGGCGCATTGAATTCAATTATGTACAGTAACATATATCATTTTAACTATGAATCTAGCCTTTATATTTACAGTACTGAGATTTTTAAAATAACATGGAGAGAAGGATGTTGCTAGAAGGATTATAGTCTGTTTCTGAGTAGTATTGGCAGTATTTACCTGTATTTACCTGTGTTTTTACCTGTGGTTAACCCTTCTATCTAAGGTGGTGTCTAATGTGTATCTAAGCTGAAAGCTGATCATATTGATATAATACATCATATAAAAAATGTTAATTTAAAATATTTCAATATTAATGATATAAATTAATATATATATTGAATATATCCACATTCTGTAGTCCTTGTGCTACTGAAATGACATTTGATGAGATGAAATGTGTTAAAAAATATTTTAATAGTTTTGTACTTTAAACATGTTATTAAAATAATAATATGAATAGATATAAAATGAAACTTTTCTTTGTTATTATAACATTTAATAAGATGCCTAAACGCCTAGTAAAATTGGTAATGTGTGACTAAGAGTGTGGTGTTTAACAGTTGAAAATTAAACTAAAAAATAAATAAAAAAAAATCATAATTCCTATGTATATCATAACTATCATCAGAATCATTTAATAACTTTAATTATCCAACCTATCATTTCCATCCTGGTGAACTAGAAGTGATCACGGCCTATGCTAATTAGTGAGATAACGATGAGTTTTACCATTATCTAAGCACACCTTGAGAACCGGACGATGGACTTTATGGATCAACGAACGCAGTATCACATTTCTTACATCTGGGATAATTTACAACAAAAATGTGTGACACTTGACTGTCGGACTGTAGTGTATATTTGCGATTATAATAGTCCTTTTTATTTTTGCTTGGCCTTGTTTTATTATAATGCAACAATCCCACATATTTGGTATTTCGGCATCATTTGTTTGTGTTTAGATAATTATAAAATTACTAGTGCCAATTGGATGGTAAAACAATTCATAAATATCTTTTAAAATGGTGTCTTATCTACAAAGGGTAGCTGTACTGTACACATGTACAGGAATTTTATGACCTGATTCATTAGCAGATATATCAATATGTATGTTATTAAAATACCAATAAAATTTTCCACTGATTTGAATAATATTGATTTATTTAATTAAGGAAAAAGATCACATTCCTAAATATTAAAAAAGTAAATCTGCACCTGGATTCGAACTTGCACCGTTCACTTCTTCTGGTCAAAAGTAAACTGTGTTACACATTCGACTACATCGGACATACACTAGTATGGAAATACAATCTGTTTTCTACCCAGAAGCACCTTTCTCAGTTTTGAAAAACTTTATTAACCATGATTTTCATTATTTTGAGCACTTTCTAAAACATCCAGAGGGGGATTTTTAGTCTGGGAAACCCTATCACTTTCATAGATTTAATGAGTATGGCTATATTTACAGTATTGTATTAACAATACCTAATATATCAGCATATTCAATTTGTTTGATACCTATTCCTTGCATTATCGCTGCTAGAAATTATTTACTCATTAATTAATATTGTTTCCTGTATTCATAAATGCCGACTTGGCGAAATTTGGACAGTTTTCTGCCATAGCTCTTTAAGTATATATTTTAGCTTGTCTTGTATTTGGTGGCTTAAAAGGTGTAATGTATACGTATTGATGTTATTTGACTGTAAACTCTTACTATTTAGTTAATGTTATAGTTTAGTTTAAGCATATTTTATTGTCATGCAAATGGATTGGGAACAAGTTTTTAAACTTATATTAAGCCCTTTATTGTTATATCTGTACTGTACATCATGTATGTAATAATTGTATCATGTGTATATGATAAACAATATGCAGTCGTGTTTAATATTAAGTTTTCATACGCCTAAACAATAGTAGAAATGAAAAAATATATATCCAAAAAATAAATATCCTTAACCTAACATATCACATACACAGAAAAGCTACAAGTCAGACATGTAACTTTAACACAGGTAATTTACCTGTGGCGTAAGTATGAAACAGACTATAATTGCTTTGCCATTGCTTCCTATATTAACACCTTTCTTTGTTCTATAAAAAGTTGGGTAACTGAGAACACCCCGCTAGTACATGTGATCTCGTGTTGTTATAAGCTAATATCCCCGGTTACCTTGTAACCGAAGGCGAAGTATAGTAATAAATTCATCTTGAAGGAGCGATATCAAATGTGAACAAAAATGTAAATTATATTTTTGAGAAAGTTTTGTTACCAACCCCGCACAAACAAAAAGCAGATGCTACAAAAGGCATGTCTAATAATAGTCAATATGTAAGATACACTCTGGTCACAATAACGACATATATGTGAAGGAAAAACCACACACATTAAACGAGTAGGTTTATGTGATCGGTTAGGAATGTAAGGACAGATTAAATTTGTTCAAACCAAACAGTGTTTTCATCTACTTTTTGCACATGCTTTGATTATTTCGAGGAAGCATTCTAACATTTGCCATGGTTACTTCTTGTCTCATACATCTACCCGGAAGGTCTTTCGAAACGTAAGGTATGTTATGTTTCATATGTATGTAAAACGTCAATACTGATCGTGTGTCGGACACAAACTGACCGTGGTTAGGTCAGTCCTTCATTTATCCTACTCCATCTAATACTCTTTTGTAGCTTCTTATTCGGTGATTGGTTTAACATCTCCGTACATCATGTCCCTTTTCGTAGATAGCCGACATTAGCTTGCGCCTTATCCAACATCTATAACAACTACCCTTGTACTTATCACTGTTTCCAGGACATTTGCAAGTCTTACCATATCGGGTCTAACGGGCTGGTCGTCCTGTGTTTATTTTCTAAGCGCCCTCGACACTCAACATCTGAGTGTTGCACTTTAATCACTGGGTTAACACTCCATTGATTTTGAATAACAGATATGGTCTTTGTTGCCATCTAGTGTAATTTGAATACCACATGTCAACTGGAAGTAAATAATGTGTATATAATTTATGTGGAGTGTTTTGGATTCCGTATTTTCGAATGCATTCCTTAAACATTGAATTTAAAGGAAGAATAATAACATTAATTTTAAAAGCGATATATTTGGCGAAAGGTATCAACGTTTACAGTTTATATTACCAAATCTTAACCATATAGAAATTCTGTTTGTGATGGGAATTAAGACGACGTCAATCTTTGGCTAAATAAACATAATGTTGAGCCTGCTATGTATTGAGACCTAGTCAAATCTATTGACAAAATTGAAATTGCACTGAGATTGTATCATTTATAAACTGTTTTATACATTATAAACATCTTAAAACAACTTCCTCATAAACTAATTAATCTTATTTTTGTTAGTCCTGGACAAAAGTTTGTGTCGAAGCTGTATATGGGAAATATGACGTTAATGAGCCAAATTATAATTACCGTTTAAGTAGTTACATGAGTAAACAATTTATCGCTTATTACACAAAGCAAA